TTTTGAAAATACTAGTTGCCTGGTTGTCATGTTGATGCCTTGCCTTTAGTCAAAGCCCCCAAACTGCCCCTGAATTAAAGGGACTGTCCCTCTTTTGGAACATAATTCCTCTGATCCTGTTTCAGCTTATATGTCTTCTTTTTGACCTGATGCATTTGCTGCTGTAAAAAAATGTATTATTTTAAGAGGAGCTTTACCCATATTTTCAAAAACACAACAAACACACCTTTAGAAATGTTTAGCAATGACAATCTACAAACACATCCTTCTAGATAATTGCTGGCTTTTTATTATTTGCATACCTTAATTTTCTTTTCCTATTCATTCTACTCACCGTGGCCATTTTTACTAAGATCAGATTAATATATTTCTCTTTACTTCCTGGAACTCTGGCACATGTGACTAGGATATATGACCATGCACATCATCTCAGGGAAGGAAAATGCCTTTCCCTGAGATCTCGTGGGATTACAGATGAGATTGCCCAGCAATGCTCTGCTGAAGTAACCTTCCCAGGGTGGAATTATTGGGCATGATTACCTAATTTGTGCCAAAGTGGACCAGGAAGTGGAAAAAAAGAAATTGTAAGTAAAATAAAAATATGTTTGTTTAACTAATGAATGTAAGATGATTTTATATTAGCATGCCGAGCTCCATGCTGGTGGGATTTCTAGTCAAAGGGAGTAAAGGTCAACTTTAATGACAGGAAATGCTAGGGGTCATTCACAACACCATTCATTGCCGTAAACTGCCCAGATCGGCATATTTCTGTGATGGGTACAGCCAGTTAGCTGCAGACAGGAAGCCCATACCAATCAATGACGAGCTGGCACTGTCCACAGCCAGGGCCGGCCTTAGGCCTTTAGGCGCCCTGTGCGAGAAAGCTTTACAGCGCCCCTCAGTGACCACACCCCTCCGTGGCCACACCCTTTGGTGGCCACACCCCCCAGTAACCACACCCATTTATCACCCATATTTTTGGTAAAATATAAAAAGCGGGGTCACGTCGGGTAAATAGACACCAAACATGTCATGCTTTAAAATTGCGCGCACCTGCAAAATTGTAAAAAATTACCATACCCAAAATTGACCATAGGTGACGCTTTAAAAGCTTTTACCGCTCATCAGTTTAGTGTTATCAGTGATTGATAGCCCTACAATTATTGCTCTCATTCCGACGTTCGCGGAGATATGTAACATGTGCGGCGTAATGGGCGAAATCGTCGTTTTCACACGTATGCGCACCCGATGCCTGTTTGCATGCGTGTATGTATGGGGGGGACTTTAAAAAAA